GAATGACGGATAGAACAAATTTTAGAACAAACAAATAATAGTAGTAGTGATATCTTTTTTTCTTGAATTAAAATTTACAGTTGTTTCAATACTGTTACAATGAATAATAATTGGAGAAGTGTCGTCATAAGCATAGCATAAATACAAAAATAAAAAGTCGGACAAAACAAACAAGTAAATAAGTAGATATAAACTTAATTGAATAATTTGTCATCATAACAATATAGATATAGTAAGTCAACTATATTATGAATATGAATGAGCTTTTCCTTATTATAGTCTATATAATTTACAGTTCTTCGATAAATTCCTGAAAAGTGTAACAGTTCATTTGAAGCAGCAGTTTCTTTAGCCTATATTTAAACACATGAGAGCTGGCAGAATCCTTGATATGTTTGGGAAGAATATTGTAGAATTTACTGCCATTAAAATCTACACTTTTTTCATACCGTGCTGTTCTATGAGCATTTGACAACAATAAAAGACCCTTAGAGCGAGTATTGTGGTCATATTGATATGGTTGATAGTCGGATTTATGTCTAAATACATATGCACAAGATTCTAATATATTCAGGCTGATTCACGGTGGATGGCACATTAGACGTTTCTGGTGAACCAGACAACGGATCACTTTGAAAATATAATGGAGGGCATATTCGGACATTCTCGAGCCAACTAAAATATTTTCGACAATGCGGTGTTGCCGCTTCTATTAGAAAGCAGTAGCAACTTTGATTTTTAAAATGGAACACTGTATATAATATTATTTTTGGAATCTCCAACAATTGCCCGACAACTTTTCTTGATATTTCCCAATGCCTATCTGTTACCGTTTTCGAAATAAAAATGCCGATATCTTTTAGTTAAGAAGTACTATGATATCGAAATTTGTTTTGGAGTTAGAGGTGATACTTTGACACTTCCCACACGTCAGCCTAATCTCCGTTACTTCAATACAGGGTGGTAAAAAAATAGTTTGTTTGAAAAAGTTGCTGAAATTTGATTATTTCAAATGGAACACCCTGTAAGTATATTATTGGAATTTCGGAAAGCTGCTGAAATTTGCTTTCTTTCTATGTATATCATACCTATACCTAACTAGTCAAGTTTCGGACTTATGAGCATTTTATTTGTGAAAATATCCCTTCAGAATGGTATTTCCCATGTATTTCCATTCGGTATTTGGTAAGCAGGCCATGATTACTTTTTGACAGTAGCGTTGTGACTGGTTGTGACATTCTCCTAATAATATCGATATTTTCGTCACTTCAGAAGATGCAAATACCTTCAAAACGATGCAACAAAACTATTCAAACGAAGTTCTTATGAATTTGTTTATTATATTTTTGGACAGAGTGATAAAATTATCAGCAGAACATGTGGAAAGTTCAATGAAATGTATCCGAATCTACCGCCAATGAACCTCAAGAAATTTATACGAATTCAGAACAATTTCAATGCATTTGGATCAACTTTAAAAGCACCAAGAAACTTGCCTCGACCCGTAACTTCTGAAGACAACCAGATTAATGTTTTAGCAAATTTTCACGCATTTCCCGAGTCATCGATAAGAAGTGCTGAAGAAGATTTGGGTATAAAATATTCATCGGTTCAAAGAATCTTGCGAAGACATAAAATGCATGATTATAAATTCACCAAAATTCAAGCAATGAAGCCTCAAGACCCTCAACAGAGAGTAGAATTTTGTGAAATGTTGTTGACACGCATTCAAGAAGATCCACTTTTTTTGAAAAAATCGTCATTATTGGCCCAGTGAAAATCCTCACGTCACAAAAGAAGCCGGATTTCAAGAAAAATTTAGTTTTAATGTCTTCTGCATGTTGATGGACAACAAATTATTGAGGTACGTGATATACGAGGAGTCATTAATATCCAGAAGCTACCTGAATATTATGGAGAATACTGTAGAGTTTCGTGGATAATCTGCCACTCGAAGAATATCGAAACTGTTGTGGTACCAACTAGACGAAGCTCCTGCGCGCACATTGCACAAGAGAAGTGGAGCGCAGAACTGGAAAGACTTTTTGACGATCGGTGGATAATAAGGCGCTTGGGACCATGGAATTGGCCAGCGAGATCACCCGATCTTAATCCATTAGATTTTTATTTGTGGGGAATGTTCAAAGAAAAAGTTTACAAAATACCCGTGCTTTCGAGAGATGAAAGGATTGCCCAAACATTTGAAAATTTGGATCCCAATGAAATCAGATCTGCCACCACGAAAGCAGTCAACACCCGCATTTTAAAGTGCTTGGAAGTGAACGGCCAGCGATTCGAACATATTTTGAAATATATTCCACATCATTGTTTCACTTTCTTATAATTATTCATATCAATATTTCCAATTTCAAGTTTCTTGGTGCTTTTTAAAGTTTATCCAAACATATTGAAATTGTTCTGAATTCGTATAAATTTCTTGAGGTTCATTGGCGGTAGATTCGGATACATTTCATTGAACTTTCCACATGTTCTGCTGATATTTTATCACACTGTCCAAAAATAATAAACAAATTCATAAGAACTTTGTTTGAATAGTTTTGTTCCATCGTTTTGAAGGTATTTGCATCTTCTGAAGTGACGAAAATATCGATATTATTAGGAGAATGGCACAACGCTACTGTCAAATAGTAATCATGGCCTGCTTACCAAATACCGAATGGAAATACCATTCTGAAGGGATGACATTTTCACAAATAAATGCTCATAAGTCCGAAACTTGACTAGTTAGGTATAGGTATGATATGCATAGAAAGAAAGCAAATTTCAGCAGCTTTCCTAATTTTCAATAATATACAGGGTGTTCCATTTGAAATAATCAAATTTCAGCAACTTTTTCAAACAAACTGTATTTTTTTACCACCCTGTATTGAAGTAACGGAGATTAGGCTGAAGTGTGGGAAGTTTCAAAGTATCACCTAACTCCAAAACAAATTTCGATATCATAGTACTTCCTAACTAAAAGATATCGGCATTTTGAAGTCATGATTTTCGAAGAAAAAAATTGAAATTAATTTTTATTTCGGAAACGGTAACAGATAAGTATAGGAAATATCAAGAAAAGTTGTCGAGCAATTGTTGGAGATTCCAAAAATAATATTATATACTGAGTGTTCCATTTGAAAAATCAATGTTGCTACTGCTTTCTAATAAAAGCGGCAACACCGCATTGTCGAAAATATTTTAGTTGGCTAGAGAATGTCCGAATATGCCCTCCATTAAATTTTCAAAGTGATCCGTTGTCTGGTTCATCAGAAACGTTTAATGTGCCATCCACCGTGAATCAGCCTGTATGTGCTGGCGACTGTTAGAATTTTCAGTTCTTTGAATGCATTTTCTGCAATACTCCCTATCCTATAGTTGACCAATTATTCCTATCACATATTTTTGTATTAGGAATACCCTTTGCACAGCTGCAGCAGTGCCCCAGTTCAGAATCCCATAACGAATTTGGGAATGATAATTGGCGTCATACTAGGGGAAACGAGAGTAGAGTGAAGAAGCTCCACCAGGGGGAAGAAATGTTCAAAATATATTTGTTAGTTATTGGTTATTTCGAAAATACTAATTGACTATTATTGTTGTTATGATGGCTGATGTGACAAAGAAAAAAAAACAGGAAAAAATTAGCAATAAAAATAATTCAGATAAACCGAGGATAATATTTCATTGGATATTTGATATTTATACAGGGAGAAACGTATTTCACAGGCCCAACTAGAATTTTCACCAATGAAAGTGGTCATACGACTAGTAGCACCTGTATTGATTACATGGTAACTACTTTCTCGAATCAAATTTATAATTGTTAACTGATTCAGCCAAGTATTGCTGATCTTTCATCCCATATAATAGCCTTTAGCGAGCAGATATGTGAATCTGATGAACATCAAAATGTTACTGCTATGAAAAGGAAAACCAATCAGATAAATATGAATGAACTTAGAACCAGACTAATATTAGTTGGTACCTAACTTTTCATTCTTTCTTGAGTCACTTTCGTGGTGTTTTGATGTATCTGTCCAATAAAACCTGATGTTGTCCTTAAGGAACCCACCAAGACTTTTTTCAGAAAAGATTATCCAAGAATGTGAATATGTAAGAGAAATATTCAGATTTATTACAGCTTCTGAGGAACAAAATCGACTCATTTTGAACACTTCTAATTCCATATCGATGAAATTTTAATATAGAAAGAATAATACCCCCTGCGAAATAACTCACTTTGATGAAAAAGGTATGTCGCAAGATGTAAAATTTTTGGGTATATATACTTAAAATAAACGTACAATTGGGATCTTCATATCAACAGTGTCTGCAAGATACAGAATACAGTGTTTTTTTGCAATAAAGAGAATTCAAACTTGTATTGCCAAAGAGAATTTATTATTTAACTTTTTGTTAACTGCGGTTTTTTATAATCTTTCTTGGTTTTCTTAACTTTTGGGATTGCAATTAAATATAATTAATTTTGGTGCTTCTTCATAGTTGTTTGAGATGGGTCAAAATTATCATGTCGTTTTTTTCTCAAAAAAAGTTTCTACGAGAAAAAACTAATGATATTTGGACGACCAGCTCCTAGATCTTATGATGATATCAATGAACTTGTAAAATGGCGAGAATGTGGTCAACAATTCAACACAAATGAGGTATAGATTTGCAAAAAAGCTAAATACATTTTCATCAAAGAGAATGTGAAATATCTCTATCTCCCTGTAAATTGATTAAATTGGTATGCCATGATTTCCATGCACATTCATATGATAGTGAATTGCCGTACGAATTTTAGAGCGGTACCAGGATTTTGAAATATTCAGGAAAATCTGTGTATACAATTTTTCTTCATCCCCCCTCTCACGGCTCAACGGCGCATTTTCGGTAAGTTGATTTCAATCAGTCTATTTTGGTCTCTAGTTCACCCTGTAGAATTTATGGTACGTTGTTCTGGGAGTGATATCATTATTTTCTAAAATTAGAGTAGATGTTTCAGAAATGTGTTATTATATATTTCAACAAATCAATTGGAATTACACTCAAACACTAGGTTTCAAGATACAAAACGATGTTTTTGCCTACTGTTCTGATATAAATTATATTTCACTACTCATGTAGAATCAAAGAATTACAATAATCGATTATTTACATTCAAATTACATATTTTTATTCATTATTTGCAAACAATTCATCGCCTCGTTTTCGATAAGGAAGTTGACTGGGACTGTTTATTTCCTGAAAGCACTACAAATGCAGATTGTGTTTCTTTTTGTTTAGCTTGCAGCATATTAAGTGTTCCTAGTGGGGTATCTGTTGAACTCATCTTCTTCATTAGCTGCAAGAAAATACACGGATTAGAATCAATTTCCACTACATCTTTCGTCAAAACCAATTTCTCAAATCAATGGTTTTTCATAAAATTATATGAACGGTGAACTGTGAACTTTGAACTTTGAACAGGGGAATCTCCATTTTTGCGTTATTCACTGTTCAAGAGGTTTGTTTTCCACTTTTCACAGGCGGTAAGCAATTATGACAATCTCTAACAACGCCAAAGACAAGCATAATTTCAGAGTAAATGTATGACCAAGGGTATGGAAAAATTTAATTTTTTTTTCTTTGAACACCCTGTATCTGCAACATTTGTATAAGGCTAAATCTTAATATTTTGGTATTAACTATCATTGATCGCAGGGTATAATCTTCATGAGTTAACGCAATCTATTTAGATTTAGGATGTCCCACTACAGCTTCGGGAAAATAATCTATCGACAAAATTAGCGATGAGAAATTGATTCAAAATATTCGAAGCTACTATGATACACTAAGAAATGAACAATAAGCTTCCGCGGTAAAATAAGACATTTTAAATACATTTCAAATTCGCAAATTTCATAAAATCTAAACATGAAGGTTGATTAGCTACCAGCAGAGTTGACGTATAATGATGATTTTTCAATACAATAAGTTATTTGCAGATTACTTGAAGACAAATGAAGATATCGAATCGCGATTTCTGCCAAAATGTTGCTATTTTCATGCTCTTCAAGAGCAATGATGCTAAGATGTATCATTTTATTTGAAATTTTCGAGAAAATCCGAAAATATCGAATAGTCGATAAACGACGCCCTCTATAAGACGCGATATAAACTAGTGATCGTGAATAACGTGAGTTTTTAAATGAGTGTGGAATTATCTTTCAAACGAGCCCAAGATAATTGAATTTGGGTAATGGGTATGGAGGATACACCAATTTGAAAGATATTTTGTTCACAAGCTTCCCCTACCTTTATTATTCTAGATACGAAAAAAACTCTGGAGACCACACACAACGATAAATTAATGATCTTTTTATTTCCGTTATCAAAAAATTACCTTACTGTAGTATCCTGTGTAATGGGTTTTAGTTTGATATCCATTGTTATGTATACGGATGTTGGTAATCAAACCATTGTGGATTTTCGAGTATGTTCCCGGACGTCGGAAACATAGTCACTGTCGGGACTAACTAATTTTGTAAGTGGAATTTGTTGCAATGGCAATTTGGATTTATTAATAAACCACAAGTACAGTTTCATATTTGTATTATTGATGCCCAGTCTCCATCACTACACTTACACAGCGATTTTCTGAGATAATTCGAATTTCTCGTTGTATCATAGTAACCTCGCCCCCTACCGGTCATGTTAGAAACTTGAAAATATTTTGAATCAACTTCTCATCGCTGATTTCCTCAAAATATTTTTTCCCAGAGCTGTAATGTTCTCGGAAACGGTAAGAGGTACAGAGGGGGTTAAATGGGGGCAAAGTTTCGCAATTTTATGACAACCAAATTGCCGTTTTGAAATTTGAAAAATTCCGAGGGAGGATATTGGAGTTTTTTTGAACTTTTGGGGATTAAAAAATCTTGGAATTACTTCCACAGGCAATGAAGAGCTTTCCCGTTCTATAGAGAAACGAGTTTTGATAGCACTATATCGACATCTATTTGAAAAGATGTAACAAAACGAATCACAAATTCTCGCTACTTGTTCTGTTCTACAAGATTTTCAAACCGACGTTTTGTCTTAGATCTGCTACCATCAACTATTTGTTTTTTTTTAAATACGGACCTGTAGTTTTTATTATGGATTTGGAGAGCTTTCAATCTCCTGAAATCAAAGGTGTAATCCCACTTATTCCAAAAAGGTGTTTGTCTGTCTCTAACACATGGGTTCTTATGGGAAATGCCATTAATATGAATTTTTCGAATGTGCGATACTCCGTCGGTTTTGGGAGCTCAAAAGCTCTTGAAATACATAATAAAAAAATTAAGGGACGTATTTGAAAAAAAAAACAAAGTTGACGAAGGCAGCTCAAAGGCAAAACGTCGCTTTGAAAATCTGATAACACCATCTTGTAGAACAGAAAAGTAGCAATGATGATATGTGATTTGTTTTGTTACATCTACTTGAATAGAGTCAAGAAAAAATAAAAATGAAATCGCAAATATTCGATTCTTTCCAAAAATCTTCGGGAGTATTCGGAACTTTTTAAATTTCAAAAAGGCATTTTGTTAGTCATAAAACTGCGCAACTTTGCCCCCATTTAACCCTCTCTATAGCTCTTACCGTTTCCGAGATCCCTCCGAGAAGAGCTAAAAATAGGACAATTCTTGAAATACATAGGGTCGGTGAAGGAAACATGCGAGCATTCGACTATAATATTTTCATTATTGTAAAGCTTCTGGTTTTTCCGGAAGTGACGTCATATTTGTTATTTTCATTGGATGGAATACAATTCGGGCCACGTACTACATACTACATAATTATATAAAGGTTCAAAATTGGATATGAGGCCATATCAGATTTTTCCTTCGACAATAATGGCGGACATTCAAAATGGCGGCTTCAGAAATTAAGTGTTGCCTTTAAATGTTCTCAGATGATGTTGAATGATATATAATTCAGTAGTGGCAAGTAATTGTTGTTCTGTGCATAATGAATCTCAGTATAGAAAAAAATATAGATACATATTGTAAATAATACATTTCTCAACACACTAAATGGACCACTCATAATTCGACTCTTTTTCGACGACCTGTATCTTAAGGAAATCTACTGATCTTCAGTTTTCGATATCAGATGTGATATTTCATCGACTTTTAAGAAAGCTGGAACACTGTGAAAATGTCAACAGAACGAAATGTACACAGGGTATGAAGTGGAACCATTACAATATGGTCTACATTTGCAATGCTGCCGGAAATCTAGGAATTTTTGTCTAATTAAAATTCAGTCATATATGATATACAGGGACTGCATCCCGGAGCGTTTTCGTGATTTATCTTTGATTCGCCATCGAAACAAAAATAATTATTGTTTTTCAAGTCATGCATTTCTTGAAACTTTTCTTCAGAACTCCACTCGAACTGAATATTGGGATGAACTGTTTCCATGTTTCCTGGAGGTGAATGAAAGACGAATAAAGCACCATAATAGAATATATTGAATGTTGAAAAAAATCCTTATCAAAATGAGCCTTTATTTTTGGCCAGTCAACTTATTTTGGAGAGATATATACGCTGTTAAATGAAAGACCTCACTTTCAGATTCACCCTATATAACCAACCATTTCGGATTTGATCATATCGCAATCCAATATGGCGGACCTCCGTATTTTCTGGGAATGCCCACTTTTTCTTTCAAATGGAATACCCTGTATATTTTTACATATTCTAGTTCAACAGATCAAAACAAGAGCAATTTTTAGGTCAAATGTCATTTTTCAGAAAAATCACATTTTGATCAAACATTCATTTCACCTACATGTCTCTCTAGAACAACCATTAAGGAAAAAAAAATTACATAATTTTTGTATTTCGGTGCAGTAACAAATTGTATGTATTCAAAATACAACAACTAGTTTAATGAATTTCCTTGCAGTTCGAATAATTTTCCATAAGCTTTGGAAAACAACATTTCTGAATCATCTCATTAGATTGCACTTGTTTTGACCTGTTGCATTTGAATATATAAACATATACAGAGTGTTCCATTTGATAAAACGAAGGTGTTGGCATTTCCAGAAAAACCAGAAGTCCGCCATATTGGATTGTGATGTCATCAAATCCGAAATGGTTGCTCACATAACTGTACCGAATTTCAGAAAAATCCGTCTAGGAATGCAGGAGTTACAGGGGTGACCCGATAACCTGTGTCAACCGGTATGTCCCAAACGAATGTAAAAAGATTCTATTTTATCAAACGGCAAAATGATTGAAAAATGTATTCTCCTGAAGATGCAAACATAGTTAGTGGAACACGTGTCGAGGCGTTTAAAGCATCATTTTGGTTAGTGGTAAAAAAGTGTAGTGGAACATTATGCCGAAGGTTCTAGTCTTCGATATATCATTTTTTTGTTAGCCTATTCCGGTAACTGGTATTGGTTCACAGTGAAATATTACCTGTTCCTGAACACCCTTCTTGATCCTCTTCTCGACCTTGTTCTTTCCAGGCCCCTTTCCATGGAATTTGTGCGACAGATACCTGAACGCCTCCTTCGAGTTGAGAATATGTCCGTCATCATCGATATACTCTAACTTGACATTTGGCTTGAACATATCTTTCTCCTTGAACTCGGTTATGGGGCCCGCATATCTGAAAAGGGATTACATCAAAACTGGGGCATGATTCAGGCTCATGTTTATCATCAGCAGAAAGGAACATGAAAAATGGCTGAATATAATTATTGGTATTAACAGTAATATCACGATAGGTACTATAGGTTTTGAATTGACTCGGCAAACGATGAGATTTCCAAAAAATTCTTAAACACACAACATGTTTCGCTAACACAGTAGCTTCGTCTATCACCTGACATTGTACTGGTGTAATGAACTAAACCAACCTTGACTTGCTCAACTTTTATATATCCTACTTTCCCAACTTGAATGATTAGTTACGACAGGTTCGATAAACCTTCATTTTTGGAAATTAGACACAATATCTACATGGTGTACCGGATTAAATTGAAAGGGTAGATAGCGAATACATATCATTACCTACTAAGAAAACAAATTCAACAGTGGTGAACTATTGAAGTCTAATACTAGGTTTCATGTGGGTGGGGCGAGGGGACGCCCTTCCACCGCGATCCCAGATGGGTTATGTTACTAACATGGAGTAATAATAATTGTCAGGTAGGAAATACGAGTAAATGAGAAGTTTTTTGTTCTGATCTGACGGCAGTGGTAGGAAAATAGTTACATAGTCAATCATTCATATCTATAAAATAACAAATAAAAACAAAACTTCAAGTGATTCTAGAGGTGGAATCAAGCAAATGAAACGCATTTATAGTTAGATTCCTCATATGTGAGGAGTGGCAGAACAAAAAAGTATTTCATCCACGTTGGATTCCCGGTAGGTGGGTTCGATTTCCACCACGACCGCAGAAATTTGCGGGTAGCTCGTAAGAGGGCAACCGCATGCTGAATAAGAACAATTGTAGAACAATTTTCATAACAATTTACAGAAACTCTGTACTCGTGCAAATTACACTTCAAGAACAGAGATACCATGGATGTAGTGAATAAAGTATGTAACAAGTGAGCTACAAAAATAGTAGTGTGAATATTTGATATAAACATTGTTGAGAATGAAATATTTTTATCGAAAAAACGGGCCCATTACGAAACAAGAACCCTTTTACACCATTCATGTATCTCTTGATGAGGATTCTACATATTTCTCATCATTTCATCAAGGTATGGAGATATTATACAGGGTCGCTGATATGTATGGAAATGGTCGATTATCTCTTAAAGTAAGATAGCTAACGAAAAATGTCGAGACACGAAAGTTTTATGGTTTTTTAAAATCTATCACACTAAACAAAAATCAAGTATACACGATCAGTCAAAAAGTCAGGACGAAACAAAGTTGATTTTTCTCTAACGGGAAACCCTGTACATTATTCCATATTTCGATTCTGCTCAAAATTCTCAAGAAAATTGATATTAGCACATCATTTCCTAAATTTAACCGTTCTCGAGATATCGAATATTGAAAATAACTATTTACTACTCTCAAATTTATAAAAGAAAAAACACGAAATGATGGATATTTATCATTAAAGTCACACAAGGTGGAGTGTGTGAGTATGATTACAATGTATTTACAGAAGATAAAAGAAGTATAATTGTTCAGGGTTGATAAAAATGCATGAAACGATAAAATGATTTTTTTTAATGAATGTCCAGGATATTTAAAATTAAAAAAAAAAACAATAGTTATGCTAGGAGAAAAAAAGAGATAACAATTTTTAATAAACAACAAATGTTTCTTTGGAATTCCATTTAATAAGGTGCTCAAAGTGTTTACCGTTTACTTCCTAACAGTAATGAACTCGCTGAACAAAATTTTGTAGTGGAGCTGAAATCATGTGAGGAGGAATGGTAGAAGTTTCATGCCTTATTCTTTCTTGCAACTCTTCGATATTTGTCGGCCTATTTTTATAGACTACATTTTTTATGTGAGCCCATAGAAAATAGTCAAGTGGGGCATATCGGGAGACCTAGCTGGCCATTCAATTGCTCCCCTGCGCCCAATCCATTTATCAGGAAAAGTTTCATCTATACAGGGTGGGCCACCAGTAACGCCTCGGTCTCTAGAAGGCTAACCACTTATCTTCTTGGAATTCTTCCTCTTTAGGAAGTTGCATGTCAACATAGGCTACCATTTGAAATTATTTTGAAACATACAGGATGTCCCCAAAAATCACAAAACACTGAAGTTGAACTTTTTTCTATCGAACACCCTATATATTATTTCATTTTGAGATTCTCCCTGATGAGCTGATTTCAACGACCCATCATACTTGGGGTCTAGCAGTTATAATTACTGAAATATAGGGTGTGAAAAATCGAGATTTTCCAAGTTCAAGAATTTTTTGTGTCGAAACTATTCATAATTGGTCAAAACGGCTTACATGTCCCTATCTCAACTTTTGATTAACTATCTACTGATATTTAATTGGGACATATACCGGGTGATCAAGATTCTGAATTCTGCACCACCCTGTATTTCTTTCAATTAAATGTCAGTAGATAGTTGATCAAAAGTTGAGACAGGGACATGTGAACCGTTTTGACCAATTATGAATGGTTTAGACACAAAAAATTCTTGAACTTGGAAAATCTCGATTTCTCACACCCTATATCTCAGAAATTATAACTGCTAGACCCCAAGTATGATGGGTCGTTGAAATCAGCTCATCAGGGAGAATCTCAAAATAAAATAATATATAGGGTGTTCGATAGAAAAAAGTTCAACTTCAGTGTTTTGTGATTTTTGGGGACATCCTGTATGTTTCAAAATAATTTCAAATGGTAGCCTATGTTGACATGCAACTTCCTAGAGAGGAAGAATTCCAAGAAGATAAGTGGTCAGCCTTCTAGAGACCGAGGCGTTACTGATGGCCCACCCTGTATATGCCCGTACCACACGTCCAAAATGTGGAGGAGCCCCATCTTGTTGAAACCATATTTGTTCTTCCGGCAAATTGGGATTGTTATTATTATTCGGAAATAATCGTCTAAGCTCTGAAATAATATTCTGTTGTAAAAGTGATAAATATCGTTCAGAGGTCGAATTTCCGTTCATAAAATAGGGTCCTATGACGTGTCCACCAATAATGCCACACTAGACATTTACTTTTTGTGGCCGTTGAGTGTGAACTTCCTCCATCCAATGTGGATTTTGGTCTGACCAATACCTACAGTTGTGTCTATTTACGTGCCCGTTTAAACAAAATGTCGATTCGTCAGAAAACAATATATGGTTGACGAAGTTGACATTTTCATTCAATTTATCCATAATAACTTCACAGAACTCGATTCTACGATAAAAATCGTCTTTAACCAATTCTTGTACAAAATGAATTTTATATGGATGGAATTTTTGCAGTTTGCAAATTTTTTGAATTGAATATCGACTCATGTTATCTATCATCTAACATGACATTCAAAGAATTTTCTTCATTTGTAACGCTTACTGGTATTCCACTTTTTGACACCTTCAGTTTCATGAAAACGCTGCAATGTTTTTGAGACAGTTGATTTAGAAAATGGGTTCCCGATTGGAATGCTAATCATTGAAAATATCCACTACTTGGTCGCAACTTCGTCTTCTATCACCGTATCCTGTGATCATTAAAATTTCAATGCGCTCAGTTTCAGTTAAACGTGCCATTTTTGCGCGAAAAGTATTTACACTAAATGTATTTTTGACATGTGTTGTCAAGATCATCACTGTAAGACAAACGAACGACGCGGCGTTGTACTTCCAAAGGTAACTTGATGGACTATGAACTTAATGGACTAAAACATTTTTGGATAATTTATTAAAAAGTTATTTTCAAAATTCGATATTTCGAGAACGGTTGAATTCAGGAAATGATGTACTAATATCAATATTGTTAAGAATTTTGAGCAGAATCTAAATATGGAATAATATACAGGGTGTACCGTTAGAGAAAAATCAATTTAGTTTCGTCCTGACTTTTTGACTGATCCTGCATACTCAATTTTTGTTTAGTGTGATAGATTTTGAGAAACCCTTAAACTTTTGTATCTTGACATTTTTCGTAAGTTACCTTACTTTAAGTGATAATCGACCGTTTCCATACATATCAGTGAACCTGTATAATTTTTAATGTGGTAATTTTAGTTTTGTGTATTAGCATTAATGACATCTCTGTCACGTTCTCACGTTACAAAATATTTGCAAGATCGCGACCCTTCCGGTAACACCATAAGTGGACAACAACTTCGTTATTTTAAATGGGAAGTTATATTCATCAGCCTTCCCTATACCTAAGTCTAGCTGTTATAGAAATATGAAAACATTTTTGAATATATCGGAATCATTTTCAAGTCAGTAAGAAGAAAAATCAACCTTTTCGTTGGTATATTCATGATTGGGGAAAAACATTATGAATTTATCAAATTTCGGCCGATTTTTCACTTCCATTAGATAAAGGAGAGCTTGATCCTGCATCGATCTACAGAATGTTATCTCGATATTGAGAGAAGTTCATCTTTAGCAGTGACACGTGCTATTTTTGCATAGTTCGCCATGCTTTTGTCAGATTATTATTTATTTTTACAAAATATGACGAATCAAAATTATTCAAATCAAGATTCGATGAATTTATTTTGCATTTATGGAGAATGTAACATTCTGAACAGGACTTGCCATCAATTCAACGAGGATATTTCTTGTTCTAATTATTCTAATTTTGGTCTCAAATAAGTTCAGAAACGAGCAAATTTTAGGACAGAACGACAAAAAATCACAAGCCTATGAGGCTAGTGCCTTCCTCTCGAATTAAATGCGGAAACGAGGCTAGTGCCTTCCTCTCGAATTAAATGCGGAAACTGCTCCTGACGGACTCGTGGTATTGCTCGGCAACACAATTTGGTTAACAATGAAACGACAGAATTATCTCGAATATTCAGAACATCATGATATTACTTATGAATCACGTATTATTTCTACAGCAGATATGTTTTCGAATACCGATATTAACAATGTAAATTTAAAAAAAGTAATCTTCCGATACCGGGAATCGAACCCGAGCCTGCTGGGTGAAAGCC